CGTATCTAACTTTAAAATGACTTCTGATGCATTTTTCTTTAGTCTGCACTCTCTGTTTCCTTCTGTGGGATACCAGGGGTGTACACAAGGGTGAAGGGGTTCTAGGGGTCTTTTATATAAGTAGGTACCTATGTTATTTAAATATATAGATCTCATCTTTCCAACTTATATAAAATAATTATCTGCCCTTTTGATAACCCTCTACAAAAGATTCTACAATATAAACCCTTTAAGCTATAAAGTTGGGAATTGTTTTATCCTTAACACGTCCGGGTAACTGTTCCACCTACTTACCGAAAACGTCCTTTCCCCATCCAGTTGCGAAACAGTCTCTCGATGTGAATTGTAAATTTTGTGAAGGAAGGCATATCGTCCCGATGTGATCGTATTTATCGACGGGAGATGCTAATACGAGAAGTGCTACGTCATTAAATAAATTGTTCGCTCTGAAACCTTCATGCACCACAATTTGCACCACGTCCCTCTCTTGATAAGGCAGTCGCTCTCTCGTCGTTTGGGTATCCCATTCGCCAACCCGCACCTTCAGATCGGATGGTTGATTTTGAAATCTTAAAAAAAAATGTTAACATCAAATCCCGTAGTGACAGAAGAGTTCGGTGTAGCATTAAAAACCTAAAAGAATAATAAGGCACCAGGTATAGAGGGAATACAGGCGGAAATTTTAAAACATATACATAAGACAAGAGGTTAGAGATTGTATGTTTACGCTAGTTAGTCACATTTACGAGACGGGGAAAGTCCCGGAAGATTATAAACGAAACGTGGTAGTTACCATACCTAAAAAGAGAGGCTCGAATAGTTGCGAGTCATTTAGAACAATTAGTTTAACTTCCCCTGCGTCAAAAATCTTAACTAGATTTGTACAGAGGAGGATGGAAAAAAGAGCAGACAAACTATTAGGGGAAGATCAATTTGAGTTTAGAAGAAATAGAGGAACGCGGGAGGCCAATTTAGCTTTACGGGTAACAATAGAGAAAACGATAGAAAAGGGAATGAGCGCGTGCATAGGATTTGTAGATTTAGAAAAAGCTTTTGATAATGTTGAATGGGACAAGATGTTAAATATACTCAAAAATACAGGGATGAGTTACGAAGACAGAAGAGTGATTCTTAGTTTGTATAAAGAGCAACTAGCAGTTATAGAGCTAGGTATGCAACGTAGAGAAGTAAATATTAGGAAGGCAGTCAGACAAGACATCAGTAAGACAATACAACTGTAGGAATAGATATAAAGGGGCAAAAGATTAGTGTGCTTCTAGCAAGGAGGAGTTAGAGACAGATTTAAATAAAATTTGAAAAAGATTGTTAAAGGTGTATTTGGAATCCGGCGCTGTACGGGTGCGAAACATGGACGGTGGGCACGGCGGAAAAAAAAGGTTAGAAGCGTTCGAAATGTGGTGTTACAGGCGAATGATGAGGATACCGTGGATACAGAAGGCTAGAAATGGAGAGGTATTAGAAAGAATAGGAGAACAGAGGACTGTATGGAAGTCAATAAAAAAACACACCTTCTCAGGCATGAAGAGACATATTAGAAACAGAAATAGGAGTTAAGAGGATGAGAGGTAGACCTAGATGAAATTACTATTCGCAAATAGTTAAGAATGTAGGATGTAGTTTTAGGTAAATGCGAAGATTAGCTCAGGATAGGAAAGAGTGGAGGTGCGTGTCCAACCAGTCTTAGGACTGACGACCTTATGATGATGGAACATCAAATCGTGTAAACGTATAAGGCAAAACGGAAATAGAAATTAGGTGTTTCTTTGTCTGTATCCTGCATTTTCTCCTTTTTAGAGAAGTATTTTACCATGCTATTGTTCCTGAGATTAGCAAAAAAAGTACATTCGTGTCAGGAATATAGCAAAAAATTGTATAAGAGCCTTGAGAAGAAAGTACGGAACCCCCCGGGAGTTTGCCGTCATTGCCTTTGGCTCAGGCGACGGCGATATGGAACTAACTGGTAAAAATCAGGATTGCTAGATGAGTTTCTTTTTATTCCCTAGTTTTTCCGCCTTATATTTCCCCGGGGATTCTTATGGCGATAAAAGGAGGGACTTTTGTTTTCTATTATTTTCCAAGTATTTAATGAAATTTAAGAGTGCAAGTAGCCTTAAAACAACAAGAATTCTTTTGGCATAAAAATTAAATTATAAAAAACACCTTTTCCTTAAACTTCCTTTAGTATTCCTAAGCCTAGGGAAATTTTACATCGGTTTGGTAACGCGGTGCAAATATTATCTCTTTCCCCCTAGTAGGAGTCGTTTCAAAAAAGCTTCGAAAGCTAACCTGTTATTAGCAACCGACATTCCTAAAATTGTCATTTAGAAATATTGTGAGCACATAGCGTTTACAAACATGCATATATTAGTTGTTTGTGTCTTTTTTTTTACAAAATTTGTCGAATAACGTAAGAAATTTCGTTCCTATCGAGCGTAACTTGTAACTTGAGCAAAACTCGAAATTTTCGACTTTATAAGTTTATAATTCGAAAACAAAGAGATTATTAGAAAATACTACAAATGGCGCAGTAAACGCCATCTGTAGCACGATGCTACATTTTAGGATTATGTATGCACCAACAAGGTTCACTTGTGTGGATATCTACTTGCTGAAAATGCTACAGATGGCGTTTACTGCGCCATTTGTAGTATTTTCTAAAACGCACTGTTAAGACAGCAGGTAAAAGTTGGTCTGTGTTCTGTTGGAGTTGCCTGCGACGCGCTGATGAGATCCAAAAAGATCGAAATCGCGATCCGCATCTGGCAGTTTCGACAGAATACAGACCACTTCGAATTATTTTAAAGAGATTATTGTTTTGGAATCTCTTACCGTGCCCAGTTATCCTTTACAAAAATCGAAATTTGCCCGCCCTGTACAGATAATTTTAATGTCCAAAGTTTTTGTAAAAAGTAAAAAGCACCAAATATGGAATATACTGATTGTGAGTCAAGTTGCGCTCAAAATTAGAGAGAACCATTCGTTGATGTTGAAGATTAACAGAGGCCAAAATAGAACATATTTACGGTAATCCATCATTTATAAGTAGGGTTCGTATCATTATGCATTTGCATAACTGCATATTCTAATGCATATTTAACCCATTATTTGGTTAAAGTGCATATTTTGGACATTTTAAGTTTCATCTGCATATTTCGTAGTTAAAACTTGTTTGCAAATATAATTTATACGCTTACCAAGGTCAAATACTTACTGAACCCCCTACCGGTTGCGTTCCGTTTACACAAATGTGAATTCTTAATATCGTCGACCAAGAAAGTGTTTTTAAAAGCACCTTCTCGCGTTGCTAAGTTCAAAGAAATTGCCGGTAGTGAGATTCCACATCCGTCATCCCCAATTGTTTTAAGATGGGGCATCTGGATTGAAGCTGCAACCTATTACGCTCAACATTTTGAACTTACTGCCCGTATTATTAACGATTTCGTTCCTGAGGAATCGCAGTGTGTTGAGGATGCAAATTAAAAAAAGAAGTATACAGATTGTCGAAATTGTTTTTGATAATTAAATATATTTAAAAAAAAGGCAGTTTTGCTAATAAACTGTCGTCAGTATTGCAAACAAATACTGGATATCAAAATTTAAAAAACATTTGCAACGTTTTACAAGAGGAAGAAAAGTGATGGTGTTGCTCCCAATAATTTGAATATTACGGACGTAGTTGATTTATCATTTGCTCCTATAGTTTCCTGTGACGTAGAAAGATGTTTTTCAGAAATTAAAAATATTTTATCTGATAATCGCCCTAAATTTATATTTGAAAATTTATTATATCATCATCATCATCATTCGCATTTCCCTAAAACTAGAACAGCCCACATCCTTAACTATTTGCGAACAGTAATCTAATCTAGGTCTACCTCTACCCCTCCTAACTCCTGTTTCTGCCTCTAATATGTCTCTGACTAGACCTTCATGCATGAGAAGGTGTCCTACCAACCTATCTCGCCTATTTCTTATTGACTCTCATAGAGTCCTCTGTTCTCATACTCTTTCTAATACCTCTTCATTTCTAACCTTCTCTATCCACGGTATCTTCATCATTCGCCTGTAACACCACATTTCGAACGCTTCTAACCTTTTCTTTTCCACCGCACCCACTGTCTAGGTTTCGCACCAGTACAACGCCGTGCTCCAAACATATTTTGTACTTTTTTAATGCATAATTGTCCAAAGCCTATTTATGAGCATATCGTGACATTGTCAACATGACTAAAAGTACAGGGATGTTTTGAGTAAAATCACTGCTCGCCTGTTAGGCGGTGGAACCCGGAAATATTTTTTGGCGAAATCATAAAAAGCTACACGTAGAAGAAGATGCTTAAAAATATTAGAGATACGAATGGGGTGTGTACAAAATCTTGCACTTACTTTGACACACAGTGTGCTCCAGTTAATACCACATTTGGGGTAATTAACGAACCACCGCATAGGGCCAGACCTTCGCTTGATGTAGGCTCACCGGTTTTTCTTAGGAGGGCGACCATCCACGGAAATTCTCCAAATTGGGCTTCGTTATTTCTGTCTCCCGTTATTTTGAAATCGATTCCATTCTCGTTTCTGATACCGCAATAGCTCACGGTACCGACAGGATTGGGTGAAGGGGTTGAACGGTCGGGTGGTATGCCAGGTTCGGGATTAGGATTGACCATTGGATCCGTTGACGTATTGGGTAATTTGACGTCGGGGGGAATGCCACCTTTGGGTATATCGCAACACACTTGCAAGGGATGGTCGCATCTGTTACTCTGTATCCTGAAACGATAATTGTAAAATTAAACTACAATATCTGACACCCCCTAATAATTATTTGCGAATAGTAATCTAACCTAGGTCTGCCTCTGTCCCACTTTACTCCTGTCTATTCACATACCTCTACAGAACTTTAGGAAGAATTTTTAGATAATTAAGTACAAACATGCATAGTCGGCAATCATTGATCGCGCAAGTTAATAAATCATACTGAGTGACACATATTTGCTTGCTTAACAAAAGGAAATTCTCGAAAAGAATTAAGACTGTTCAAGAGATAACAATATAAATAGGTCTTTCGATGATAGCCGGGTTTAGTTGGTTAGTATATGGATAGCTGATTAGTAACACAGTGCAAATTACAGGCAAATGCAGAGTGATGTAAATAAGAAAGAGTTTAAGTGTCTAGTTAGTGGTACTGTGTGATATTGATAACTGTAAAATAAATACCTGCTAAATAAAAAAAATACAACGTGTAATTATTAGTGTTGCCCAAATTCAGTCTTGGTCTTGCAGTCTTGGTCTTGTTCTTGCGTTTTTGCAAGACCAAGACCAAGAACAAGACCGCATATTTTTAGCAAGACCAAGACCAAGACTGACCGTGCAAGACTTGAGCAAGAACAAGACATAGCCTGCAAGACTCTTGCGTCTTGCAGCTAGGACTTAGCGCTATTTCACTGAGTAGTTAGGTGTAACAGTTCGGTGTATAGGTAGGTACGCTTAGGAATTCTATGAGACGCAAAAAACTGTATCAAAGAATATGAAAAACTGGACCTATGCGCATTACGACTAATACCATAAACATAGCGAATAAAAAAATTATTAAAATCAAACTGAGTGCATGCATAGTTATGTTTTAACCATCGGCACTTTGATAATGCGGCATCAAAGGTTTTGTACTTACTTCTCAAAGAAATTTGCCGCTTTTCGGAAGTACATGGTTATGATACACGCGCCGGCGGCTTCTTTTGAAATCTAAAACAATCGTTGCCGCCACGCCGAAATCATAACATTTGACACTATTTGATTGCCGCCATAGGGTGTAGGTATACTCATGCAAAATAATTTCGAATTTTTTTACACGCTTTATATTATTGTTTGATTTGCGGCGGCATCCTTATCATAGAGCCGGCACGTGGCGAGGCGGCGCGGTAGAAAGCAAGGATCATAAATGTTTATTAAGAAACAGTTACTTCCATGGAAAACGACATATAGGTCAGTTGATTTTTCGAATTTCTTATCAAATCTTCAGTTATTTATTAATCTGCTTGATCTTTACTATGGCTATATTCATTCAAGCTCACAATGTTCCAATTCTAATACGTTTTTCTAGGATTTAAAGTAAACTTTAATAAATAGTAATAGACTAATAGGTAATTGCAAGACTTGCAAGACTCTTGCTGCAAGACCAAGACCAAGACCAAGACTGGGAGCGCAAGACCAAGACCAAGACCAAGACCAGGTGTATTGGCGCAAGACCAAGACCAAGACTGGCTAAGTCTCGTCTTGTTCTTGCGTTTGGGCAACACTAGTTATGATACAACACGTTACTGAAGTGAATCTTCTTCAAACACACAAACATACCGGGATAGGGGTTAAGGAATTGGTTTAATGGTATTATTTGTACACTATGCTTCGCACGGGTTCAATGCTGATAGTAAATATACTATAGAATGTCTTTTAGACGATACAAACCGGCCGGTACAGCTATGTCTCTGCATTTTAAGTATGTAATACCTTCGAAAATATTCATTTAAATTACATGCTGTAAAGGACCATATTGATCTATATTAAATGCACAATGTATTTAAAAGTACTTAATTGGATAAGGATTAATGCTGTATTGCTTAAAATCGCTTCGTAAATAAGCCATTATTTCTCGTAAAAAGTAAAGGATAAAAAATGGTTATTGTGGGATATCTCTATGAGATAGACATATATCATCCCGGTCTTTTTTGTAGACCTTTTTAAGGTGTACAATACTGCAGTATATTATTTTGATCTATCTCGTAGGGTTCAGCCAGCGTTTGCAATGTAAGCGCAAAAAAATGTGTTTATTTACGACATCACATTACAAACCTCTAAAATTTTTGCTCTACTATATTATACATGTATTATACATATAAACCTTCCTCTTGAATTACTCTCTGTTAAAAAAAAACGCATTAAAATCAGTTGCGTAGTTTTAAAGATCTAAGCATACATAGGGACAGACAGCGGGGGAAATGCGTTGCACGATTTCGTTACATAGCAACTGGCATGAAACGGACTTACCCTACCGTGCGTAAAGAAGTTTCACTTCAATAAGTAAAATTACAACTAGAAAATTCGTTACAATATCCTTAAAAGAACGAGAACGCACATCAGTACAAAGGCTAATTATAGAAACATCGCCTTTTTTGATTTTAATGTGTTACTTTTACCATCTACTAATTGAAAACCTCACATTCTTATCTTCTGGGTTTTTTCTAAGAGTTGTAGGTACTTATAACCAACTATAATTTGGGATAACTACAGCCGAAAAGCAGATCACAGTTTTTAAATTTTGTAAAGATTAATTCATTGTTACAGTTATTCGTTATACATATAAATTATCACTTTTATGTTCAACCTTAATGCATGCTACACTGTTAAACCTAGACAATCATTAGCCTTTGGTTCAGTTTCGTATTAGCTTTGAATATAACTATTACTTGTATTTACTCATAATTTATTATCTGAGGTCAATTTAAGTGAAAAATAATAGTGTTTGTTACTAGAAAGCAAGAAATAATTATGTGCATACGTATTTTTGCAACTAGATTTTGAAGGTTATACTACAGCATAAATTCATAAACCATTAAAGCATAAAAATGTCGATTAAGGACACAATATCGCTGTTAATCTTCTATTGTATCCTTTCCCACTACATTGATATAAGACGTTAGAACATTACACCTACCTATATACAGGGTGGCCCAAAAAAGTAGGCAATATGCTCATTGCAGCCAAACTGTAAGTTTAATCGAAAATATTTTCAGACAAAACTTGCTTCCTATTTTAATGCAAGATCGTCTGTTTTATCTACATTTGATTTACTATACAGAGTGTTTAAAAATAGGAAAAAAAGGTTTCGTTTAATAGGAAAAAGTTGTTCAAAATATGGGGCTGTGCAAAACATTGCGTTGATATTCAAATGTTTTTCTTTTGAGTCAAATGGCCTGTATATATGTTTTTCAGTCAGAACGCAATTCAAATTTTCAGGAAATATTGTTGTATCCAGTGGCGTGACTATTGTCAGTAGTATCCAGGGCGAACTCTGAAAGTGGCCCTTCGTTTTTGTGTCACTATACTAATATTATAAAGAGGTAGTTTCTGAATTTGGAAGGTGATCACCGAAACTACTCTTCCATTTTCAAAAATTTATCACTAATATTTAAAATAGACCTTTAGAATGGACATGGCGGTATATTACTTTATTAAAATAAAGGAGCTTTTCATGGAGGCCAACTTTGCAATGCGAATGTTTTTCCTACGAACGCTGCCTTGACGCTAAGAGATATAAATAAAGAACAGTTGTACATCTTATAAGACCTTTAAAAAAGTCAGTGACGACCAGAGATGTGCAATATGGTTTTTTAAAAGGAATTAAAAAGAAGATGCAAATACTTCTTTGGTTTGTTATTTCAAATGGAAAATACAAAATAGATTTTCCTGATGCCAAAATAGTTTGTTTACCGCGAAAGATCAGAGCCAAAATTGGGTTACAAATATTTTGTATTAAAATATTTACAACCCCATTTTGTTTCCGATGTTTTACACATTTTAATAAGAAATGGAATCCATGGTTTCTTTAGCTTTGAGTTCATTTAATAAGTGAAGTTATGTCTACACATTTATTAGTTTTCAGTTTTACACCGCTGGCGTATATCAATTCGATGTTGTTTTGCGGGCTGTTTTGTCGTAGTTCTTAGAATTTCGTAGTTTTTTGCTAAAGGCACGATAAGTGGTGATTTGGTAGGTGCCGATATCAATTTGGAACATCAAAATTTCATGGACCATGACATTGACCCCATAAAACAATATCGATTCAATATTTTAAATTATCCATTTCCCAGGAGTTTAGAATTTTTTGGGATCTCTTCCGTTTATGATTAAAAAGAATTCATGGAATGTCCCTTCGTCCCTTGTCCATTTTATATAATGTTTGATCGGTAATACTAGCAAAACTTTTAACGGCAAAAATGTATTTTGCATTTTAGAAATAGAAAATACCTTTGGGAAAGTACAGTGTAAACTCTATAACGTCACTCGATTTAACGACAAACTCCTTAAAATGTCGAAATTGCTTGACTTTGGTTTACTTTACATTGTTTTCTATACAATATTACACTCTATTTAACGACAACAATGCGGCATTATAAATCATTGAGTAGTACTTTGTAAGTTGCCGAAATAGATAAGAACTGCAGGTGTGTACGTTGTTGAAGGAGACGATCCTGTCCCTCCACCAAGCATCAAACAAGCACTTGATGCAGCGAAACTATTAAAAAAATACTTTTTACATAATCAAATTGATCCAGCAGTAGTATCTCAAGATATGAGTAAGATACGTAACAAAATACAATTAAAATTTTGGAGCAGCAAAAAACATCGGACGAAGATAACAGGCTATACGCAATGTGTGAATAATAATGTTCGTGTGCAAAATGTGTATTATATTGGTAAATGCATATTATTGTAGAATAGTAACATAATATCTTTTATTTCTCTCCATTTAACGACCACTCTTTATAACGCCGAAAAATGTTCAGTCCCTTAAGTGTCGTTATATAGAGTTTACACTGTATTTCAAATAAAATACAAAATGTTTTTCTCAAAAAAGTGTTTAAATGCAAGATAAAAATAGGTATTTTTTATTTTGTATTTGCACTTAATTCAAGTTTATCAAGGAAATCATCATATACAAATCTGTTAATTCATAAATTGATAAAATAATAAATAAATAAATCGGACGGACGGAACGTCACAGAATAAAAATAAAATACCTACAAGATGTTCCCCATTTCAAAATTCGCCGCCATTTCGACAATCACAATTAAAATCCGTCCGCTCCGTACCGTACAATCAGTATGCGATTCCTTCAGAATTATTCGGTCGCGTTTCGTACATATTACCTACTTATAATCAAACGGCGACTTTACTATAAAGACTGTTCCGCTTATTTTCAAATTATTTTCGTATTTATACTCGTATGATAGCCACATTGTTTAGCTTTTTCATATATCTTTCAGAAATGCAGTATTAAGTTTTAAATTTTATTTATTTATGAAAGTAGATTTGTCACTATTTGCGACTTATCCATTAATCTACTACTTTTAAATACCATTTTCCACTTTCCATCGGTACTTTTATTGACAATTGAAACCAATTGAAGCTATATTTCGGAAATCGATCCAGATGTATGCGCGTTAAGTCGGAAAAACATTCTGACGATTTCGTGCCGTCCGTCCTATTCTGATGTGTAAAATGTGCGCCTACCTTAAGAGGGCAAATACTAAGTATTAAAGGGTAAAAATTACACGCACTTCAACTGCTTTGAGTGCTTCTGTCAGAAGGGTACCGCATCCGTCACTCCCTCCAAACCCCTACGCCCGCTAATGTTTGTATCTAACGGTTATCTACTTATCTAGAATAAGACTTGAAATGGATTTAATATGAAGAAAACGTAAATTTATCAGGGGCGTATTAAGCTTTATGATTTCAAGAGCGTGACTTACATTAAAAGTGCCGGCTCATTTATTAAATTATATTATTTACCGATTGCAAAAATTTGTACATGTAACGGAATAAGAACTTCATTAATCATTCGCAATAAAAATTGGAAGCTACAGTAAGTCGAATTCTCTCAATATGCCAACTAAGGCACGAAAATGTCAGCTCAGACATCTGACACCAAAGTTTTGGGGGTGGGGGTCACGCACCCCTCCCCACAATTGCCTGATATTTATTCGTAATAACGAAATGACATTACGTTTATTACTACAAGACTATTTTAGATTCAAAAAATTCTAGAATGGAAAATTTAAAATATCTCTTCCTCGGATTTTTATATATGCATTTTCACACAAAAAAAAGTATTAACGGCTCTTTGATAAACTAATTATATTGATTCTTTACTTTAATAAAACTTAGTCTCGTTTGAAGGAGAAGGTCAATTACATATGAATACTACTCGCAGTTTTTACCATATATGGTAGTGTGCTTACTAACTGTACCGTCGCCAGAATGTGCAATCAGTATGGGTTCAAAACCTTGAGTGTTTTTTATTAATTTATTAGAAAATAAAAAAAAAATAGATAATTTGCAATCGTCGGTTCTGTTGATCAAATTTTCTTAAAAGTTACTCAATGTATTGAGCTTTTGTACGATTTTGTTCAGATACAAGCAGAATATATGAATCTGACATTCGTTGATGGTAAAGCTCAAAAGTTTCCAGGACAAACTCATCGTACCCTAGCGCATCCCTGGTTACAGCCCAGGGTACTTGCGCCTCAAGTTCTATGAAATAAAAATGTCATTGAAGATTAGCTATGGTCAATTGTTAATTGACTTTTTTTAATCATTAACTTCATGTTTTCGGTAAATTGATGGTACTATTTTTCTAAAAAAATTTATTAGTCTAGATTCAGTGTTTTTTTATTTGGGTGGACCAAGGTCCACGCATTGAAAATTCTGGCCCATGTACCTTCAGGATTAACCCGATCTAAAGTAAAATTCAAAACCGAAATACGCATT